TTTCTCTGTCATACTAGATCAATTTTTGGGCTTGATTGTCACCACCTCTAAAAGTCAGAGGACAACAGGCACATGAGATACCCTGTCTCCAGCACTTGAACCAGAACTTCCTACACTCTTGGAGAAGTTATACTTGGTCCTTTGGCAGCAGTGGACTTTAAAGCAGTCTTTGATAGACTTGCGAGGAACCCAGGTTTTTTTTTTCTTGTGTTAGAAAATGAGACTGAATTATCACCCAATCCTAAAGAGAACCAGTATTTGAAAAACTAAAGAAGCTTCTTGGAATAAAAATAGCTAATCAAGAGTACAGGACACCTCCAGGGAAGGAAGCCTTTTGTGTGCTATTTTCATTTGAGCCTGGTTGGGGCTCTGCAAAATCAAGTTATATAACTTATCCATTCTTGTCTATCCACTGCTGTCACAACACAGATCTCTGGTGAATTTTGCCTGCTTCTGAACCCAGCAGGATCTCTACCCCTGAGACAATGCTTACCTCATAGTGGTCTATCCAACATATGACTCTTGGACTATACATAATTAGCATTCAGTGCCTGCTCTGTGTTGAACTATTTCTTCTTTTGTGTTGGGGACCAGAGTTGAGCCAAAACGACAAGGATATTCATCCAACACAGGCTTTATGTCTGTACCCTATGTGTTTGTACCCTATGTATGTGTTTTAAGGCATGGAATAATTGCCTATATGTAAGCCACCTTGAGTTCCCTTCGGGGTAGAGAAAGGTATAAACAGAGTAAATAAAATTAAATAAATACCCTTCCACTTATCAGACAAAAGGAGCAAATGTGTAGAAGTTGTGTAGTCTCACCAAATAGCAGGATTTGTTTGCTCTGATTCTGAAGAAGCAACTAGCAGGACTTCCATTGCACTCAAAGTGATCTTCCCTTTATCACTTTTTGAAGGGGAACATAAGAAGATAGGTTACAGTAAGGCACACAACCATCTAGCTTGGTATCATCTACACGGAATGTTGTCTTTGTGGTGGGGTTAAGGAGGGATGTCTACCAGAATAACAAGGAGAGAGAAATAAAACTAGGCAACAGGAGAAGGAGGCTGGAGGGCACCTTAAGAGAAACTTTCCAAACTAGTAGCACCACAGCCTGCCCAAATAAAGGCACCAGTTGGTGTAGAACAGGTTAGAATCCTGCAATAAAATACCAAATTGCAGTGGAGGTGAATAGTTATTCCTGCAGGTTTTTAAAAGAAGCTTGTGCAACTGAGAGGAGGTGGCCCTTATCACTAAATAACACTCCAAGGTTAATCAGTGGTGTTAGTTGACCATCTGTGTTCCCCAGCCATGATAATATGTAAAAGCATGACAATCTGAGATCAAGTTCTGATAAGGTTGTGTTTGTGTGTGTGTGTTGAACTGAGTTTAACTAACAGGATGGGTGTGGTTCTGATCTCATACATCCAGGAAGAGATGGGAAAGAGGGCAGCAAACATCGTTATGAAACAGGCTGTCTGGCAAACTGGCATCTAGCAGGAAGGACTACTTGGGTGCAGATAGTACACTGTTAATGACAATGAATGCGTATCCTAACTGAGGTCATCCCTGGAAGCTTGTAAAACCATATTACTTAATCCTAAAGACTACATAATCAGCCAGTGATAAACCATACAGAAGACTTAATTCTGCCTATCAGGAAGCAACAGCTGGGGTGAGCGGGAGCATCAAACCAGATCATCCATGAATAGACATGTTCCAGCCCTGTGTGTCATGTTTATTAATCACCTGAAAAATATGTTGAGCAATGCTTAACAGTAGGTCTTGGGGACTTTTTTAAAGAGAGAGGGTGGTAAAGTTCAAGCAGGCAAGAGGAGTAAGAGTGGCATATGGCTGTGCCTGAAATCACCTACCTGGTGCTCATAATCCTGCTGACACAATTGTTGTGTCTTATCCTGGGATAAGAGGAAAGATGGGTTGTTCCTTAGATGAAAGCTCTTGATCCAAAAGCAGCTCAATGTCTTAACAAGGAGCAATTCATTGTTCCATGGCAAATTTGCCTCAGCTATATAGTTACCAGATGCTATTCTGAACACTAATAAAAAGTTTTGTTATTCAGAAACCAAAATACAAAAGGCATCAGATCCCATCTGATCTTGGAAACTAAGCAGGAGTTTGGATTGAAGACCACTGATGAATATCAGTTTCTGTAAGCTATGATTTCAGAAGATAGAACTGATAAACCACCTCTGAGTATTTATTGCCCCATAAGTTGGCAGGTGACTTGAATGAAAATACATATACACAGAGAGAGGAAGTAGTGCTCCTGAAAATGTTAGATGGACCTACTCAAGAAGTACAAACATTTCCAGAAAAGAGCTGCCTCCTGTTTTCTCAATAAATATTCCTTCAGTTGGGAGGTAGATGTTTTACGCATAAACGCCAATGTTTCCTGTGACGGTCAGTGGTGGAAACTAATCTAAAATGGAAACATTTTTCAAAAATCAACCTTTTCAAATGCGTACTTTGCTTGTTTGATGTTTCCCTGATACTCCCAACTTCTCTACATGTGAGGTTTTCTTTAAAAAGAAGATTCGATACCTTTTGGTGTGAATATTTATTAATTAAAGTTCTCTGTGGCAGCCCCTCTTACAACTGAAGTTTTTTTCAGAAAGTGTGGAAGGAAGTGAGAAGAAAAGTTCTTAAGTTGTCAAAGAAAAAGGTACTGTTGTCCTGAGAGAATGAGTGAGAAGGAACAATAAGCAGAAGTGAAATGGTGAAAGAATTACTAGAAATAGGTGTGACCAGGATGAATGTGATGGGAACTAAGCTCTGTCACTCAGATGTTTACTCATATGTGAATTGATTTCTATTAATTGGTTTCTGTGTACTTAAGCTTAGTCCTCAACTGACTTTGGTCTGTTTTGTGACTGTACTTTAATTCTTTCTTATAGGAATACTATGGGAGATTTTAGTCTTGATATTATTCTTAATATTCTAACTGTAGGTCCCTGTGTTTAAAGTATTATGTATATTTAAGTGTGTAATTGGGGGTTACCATACATACCATTGTTCAACATATCAATGATGGCTTGCATTTTAAATTTAAAAATAGATTTTTACTTGTAGGCTTGTGAGCCAATATCCTTGGCCAGAAAGAGAGATGTATGTTGTTTGCAGTGCTTGGTACATCGAGAACACACATTTAGTCCTGTTTGCATAACATACCAAGGTTACTTGCCTCTCTGTCCATAAGTTGGTTCTATTCACTGTGCTTATGCAGGGAGAAACAGGATCAATCCATAGAGTCTCTCTGCTCTCCCCGCTTCCCCCGCACCTCAGATTTGGCATTAATAATAATAATGTAGGTTTTTTCAGGCTATGTAGCCATGTTCTAGAGGCATTCTCTCCTGACATTTTGCTTGCATCTATGGCAAGCATCCTCAGAGGTAGTGAGGTCTGTTGGACTAGGAAAATGGGTTTATATATCTGTGGAATGACCAGGGTAGGACAAAGAACTCTTGTCTGCTGGAGCTAGTTCCAACAGACCTCATTACCTCTGAGGATGCTTGCCATAGATGCAGGTGAAATGTCAGGAGAGAATGCCTCTAGAACATGGCCATATAGCCTGAAAAAACCTACAACAACCCAGTGATTCTGGCCATGAAAGCCTTCAACAATACAATAATAATGTATTTCTTACCCACCTGTCCTCACAGCTCAAGGCAGTATAAAACATAGTTAAAACATATAGATGACATACAAACCCATAATATACATATATTAAAAATAGATCAAAGATTAAAACACCAATATTAATGAAAATTAAATGTACATTTTTTTACTGCTCATTTAGCTGTTTAATCTCTTACGGCAAGTCACTCCACAGTCTAGGGTCAGCCAATGGAGAGGTCCTCTGGTTGCTAGTCAAGTTCTCAGTGATTGAATGTCCCCCAAAGGACATAAGTGTGCAGGGCATTTAAAACCATTTATACTTTGCCCAGAAATTAATTGGCAACCAGTGGAGTGATTTTAGTTCCAGTGTAATATGCTCACTCCTAGGTGTAGCTGTAACCAATCTGGCTGCCAGTGCATGCAATACCATCTTTAGGTCTTCCCATTCTAGGAAGGGGCAGAGCTGGCATATCAGCCAAAGATTTGACAAATAGGCAAGGCTTTGTTGGGAAATTATTCAAATTGCCAGTTCCTGAGCATTCAAATGGTTAAGACCATTCCAATCATGTAAAGGGATAGTCCTATAAATGAATTATCCATGATGATAGCAAAAATGACACTGAGGAAATTGCTCAGAGCTTGTTATCTTGCCACAAAGTGATGTGCAACTGCTACTTTAGATTTAACTTTCAAGAGTGAGACAGAAAAAGTTTGCTAGCTTGGCAATTTGAGTCAGTTTTAAAATGTTTAAGGGTAGTTTGTTGTTGTATTGGCTCTGACTAATTAGACCTGTATTGTGAGACTTTCTGGAAAAGATTTATTCAGAGAGGAGATTGTTTTCTATGATGCTGGGAGAGGATAACTTGGTCAAGGTTAAGGCCTTGCCTATTTGTAGGTTACGAAGGTTAAGGGAGTATTTAAATTCTGATCACTATGAAGATTTTTTTAAACCTGCAACTGATGTCCTAAGCTTGAAACTTACTCTTATTTAAAATATTTTTGTTTACTCATTTATTTCCAAATACACGGCTTTTCTTGGGACTTTAATGATTTTAGGTCTTGGGGTTTAGTATAATCTTATTTGGTCCTATTTTCCTAATGGCTCAAAGGAAGCCAAGATAACTTTGAAAGTATTGTTAGGCCTGCATTTCTACATGATGCATCTCTTCTGCCGAGATGCTGGTTAACATGACCTTTTGGAAGAACATTGTAGTATGTCTTCTTAAGCATTTGAGAGCAATATTAAAAAATGTGTTTTTATTCTCCTACTATAGCCATTTCCTTTTGCGCGCTCTCTCTCTCTTTCAAATGTTGGCTTTGTTCCTTCTAATGTGGAGCCTCCGCTCTTCCTCTCCCCTGCAGAGTTAACGAGCTCTACGTGGAGGATCCAGACAAAGACAGTAGTGGCAAAATAGAAGTAACTTTAAACATCAGCTTGCCAAATCTGCACTGTGAATGTGAGTACCCCTCCTTAGTGGCTGGCATTGCAAGGATGGTTGAGTAACCAACCACTCCACTGACTTCATGTTTCACATTTAGATTTCGATGAGTAATTCCCATTCTTTTCTAGGAAAAAAAGGAAGATGCCTTGTTTAGAGTGCATTCTTGCTGCTTTTATGAATAGCTTCTTTCTACCAGTGCTAAACACTTATTTAGACAATGGTGTGCTAAGCACTGTATGAAAGTGGCATGGTCCATAACATAAAATGAAAGCATTTGTATAACACTCTTCCCTCATGGGCTGGGAGGAGGGCTGCCTGGCGCCTACTTTTGTGGCGTCAGACTTTTTTAATTTGCTTAGGCCCTTTTAGTCACCACTTGCACTATTTTAACCTTCCCCTGTTGTTCTCCTATGTTTTATCCTGTTTCTGCTGTGTTGCTCCCTTCTTTTACTTTTGATTGATTACTCTATTATTTGAATTGTTTCTAAAGTGGCTGTAATTTTTAAATTGCTCTGAGGATATTTTTCAAATTGCTCAGTGGCATAAATCATGTAAATAACATTGCTAAGATAGGAAAAATACTGGCAAGCATCCACCCACAGAAGAAATGAAAGAAGCTGCATGTTAAGATGCTAGCAAGATGTTAAGATGCTAGCAGTTGTCCATGTTTTGACCCAGTGTGGAGTCTGAGGCTTTTTTTTGTACAAACCCACATGATCTCTTAGATCATCTGGAGAGGCCCTGCTAGCGCTCCCACCTGTATCGCAAGCATGATTGTTGGGGACAAGGGAGAGGGCCTTCTCGGTGGTGACCCCTCGACTCTGGAACTCGTTTCCCAGGGACATCAGACATGCCCCAACTCTGGCAGTCTTTAGGAGGAGCCTGAAAACGTGGTTGTTCCAGTGTGCCTTCCCAGAATAAGGAAATACCCTCAGCAATATGTCCCTAAATGCACTTTATCACTGATTTAGGATGTCTGCACGCCCCATCTCTACCTGAAAACTCTATCCCAGTTATATCCTACCTTGTCCATGCCCAGCATTATTTTTAAAATTTTTAAATTATTGCATTTGGCCCAGCCATAGGTTTTAAATGCTTGTTGTTATCGTTACTGTTTATTGTTTATTTTTGTTTATGAGATTTATTTTAACTGTTATTTTAACTGTTGGAGCCCCCGGTGGCGCAGTGGGTTAAATCCCTGTGCCGGCAGGACTGAAGACCAACAGGTCGCAGGTTCAAATCCGGGGAGAGGCTGATGAGTTCCCTCTATCAGCTCCAACTCCTCATGCGGGGACATGAGAGAAGCCTCCTGCAAGGAAGATAAAAACATCAAATCATCCGGGCGTCCCCTGGGCAACATCCTTGCAGATGGCCAATTCTCTCACACCAGAAGCGACTTGCAGTTTCTCAAGTCGCTCCTGACACGACAAAAATAAATAAATTAACTGTTGTATTGATTGTTTTCTTATTGCTTTTACTGTTGATGTACTTTGGGCTCGGCCTCATGTAAGTCGCACCGAGTCCCTTGGGGAGATGTAGCTGGGTATAAATAAAGTATTATTATTATTATTATTATTATTATTAT